AACTTCTTGTGAATCCAAAACACGCAGAGCTGAGTTCCCCACATTGCTGTAGTCAAACTTTTAAGCCTCTCGCTTCTTCTAACTTCTGCGTTATTTGAAATCCATGTTTTATTGTCGCTCGCAGCTTATGAAGTTCTGTCGGATGTGACCAAGAGAAGAGAGTACGACCAGTTTGGTGAAACCACATACTTCACCGGAGAGACGCAAGGCAGTCAGAGATCAGACTCCCACCAACCTTTCAGCTTCAACTTCGACGACATGTTTAAGGACTTTAACATCTACAGCCAGAACAGACACGCCCGTCACAGGAGACACTTTGAAGAACAGTCCAGGTCCAACAAGGAGTCCCACAGCAGACACAAGAGACACGTCCCGGGTGGATTTGGAGCGGGTGTTTTTGATGACGTGTTTGAAGACATGGAGAGAATGTTTACTTTCGACAAACATCCCAAACAGACTGAAAGCAGGTTTAACGGAGCACCAAAGCAACACTGTAGAACGGTGACGCAGCGCAGAGGGAATATGGTGACCACATACACAGACTGCACTGCAGCTTGAGGAGAACACATCCTGTGGGACAGACGGCGGGACACAAAGCCTGCTGGTTACAAGGCTGCGAAATGTTGAACTGCCGTTCAGATTGTACGTTGATCTGCTCTGAATCTGAATTTTTTTTATTGTTGTCACACATTCCTGAGTGTATTTGTACGTAAATGTAGACGTTTTTGTATATTTTTTGTAGGGGAGTGTTTTTTTGAATGTCACTCAAGCACCTTTTGTCAGTAATGAAATTTGAAAACATTAATTTCATTCCTGAAAACTAAATATGTTCCTCAATATGACAAATACACATCAGACTACTACGCTTTGGGGGACGGTTTATAGTTTTCTTGTATAAACTGTGATTTTTGTTTATACAGTAGTCCCTTCGGTACTTAGCGGTTCATTTATCGTGGATTCGCTATATCGCGTTTTTTCAAAGTAAGATTGGACCAGACACAATTGGCTGATTGATGGATGAGCTATGGGTTGTTTATTTAAAATAAAATATTTTAAATGATTTTGCACCATGTGTGCAGCCCACAAGTGCAGGGGGAAGCTCCCTTCTGCAGCTGATCAGCTGATCTTCTCTGCCATGCACACTTCTGCTGCAGCTTTATGAAGAGTTAACCCTTTGATGTCCAGATGCACCGATCGACTTTTGTCTTCCAACTTAAAATTCAAAGTATGTCACATCGTAAAATCATCATAATCACAAAATAAAGTGTTAAAAGTTATTCTTAATTATTTTAGAACTTCTATGTTCAGTTGTTTCAGTGTAATTGATCAAGAAGTACATTTCTGCCCCGTGCTGCAGAGCTGAAGCTGCGTGACACCCCTTTAATGTTCTGTTGCACTTCTCTACAATTTAAATTTAAATACTGTAACATTTTAAACAATTCATGCTGCATGGATTGTTTATTTAAAATGTTACAGAATTTAAATAGTTTATTTAAGGAGGGAGGTTGGGAGTAACAGGTGATGAGTGTGATTACAGCCTGGCTCATGCCATGACAAGTTTACTGAACTTGATTGAACTTGGACTACTGTATCCCTACGTGCCGTTTCACTTATCGCGGGTGGGCGTGGTCCCAAATATCCGCGATAAACGAGGGACTACTGTATTGTTGTCAAATATCTGTTTGCTTGTTCATTGCTGAACATGTATTTTATTGTACTACCATACATCTTTTTAAATAATACTACTCTACACTTCCAGTCACGTTGTTTTAAACTTAAAATGTTATTATTAGTTACAAATGGGGGCGCAGTTTGAACAATTTGATGATCTTTTAAGATTTCAGATTTGCTACTTCCAAACTTTTCTACTTGTAGTGTAAAATGTTTAAAGTTTTCTTCTCTGTTGTTTTCTACACAGCAGATGAAAATTAATGTAGTAAAACTGAGTTGAAGGAAACTTTTCTTTCCATTTTGGTTCTTGAAGACATTTCACATGTAATCCAGAAGATTTTTTGAGTTAAAAAAAAAAAAAGCAGCTTGGACTGCTCCACCGGTCAGTTCAAGCCAAAGAGAAGCTTTTCACATGAAAGAGAAGTCATCAAGAACCTAAATGTAAATCTTGTAACCTTCTGGTCACCTAAACGTGAAGACCTTCTGTAGATGGCCCAGGATCTTCTCCACTGATGTGTTCATGGCATGTTTAGGACCAACATAGTGTTGACTTGATAAAAGCCTCATTAGATGAGGTGCTTTTCTTTCATAAACTGTGAAGTTTTTGTATTTTTTAAAAATGCACTTTAAATTGCTGAATAAATGACCAAAAAAAAAGTTTTTGTAGAAGTTTTTAAAAACATGGCTACAGTATTGCAAATTTCAATAATTGTTTGCAAATGTGCAGTATGAATTCTTAGTGTTAATGCTATAATGCGCAGAAGCTGAAAAGGCAGAACACAGGCTAAAAGTTAATCAAGTATTGCAAGATAAAAGCAATGGCAAGATAAAAGGTAAACATAGCAAAATAGAAGCTGAAAACTAAAAATAGCTAAAAGTTTAAAGTAGCAAAATATTAGGTGAAGCAGCAAAAAGTTGAATTAAAGGTAATGTGTAAGAGTACCACTGCCTGCAGCTCCTCCTCCAAGATGGCCGCTAATTAATCACACCTGACGGTCATCAGACTGAGGAGGCTCTCCTACTACAAAAGGCTGCAGTCCAGTGCTACTCTTCGCTGGAGCATATCACCTTCCATGGTAGTTGTGCTTCAAGCCTTTTAGGCTTAGTCTCTCCAGTACTAACCTTGTTCTCTTGTTTCTAGTAATCCTGATTCCTCGGCTTGTTCAAAGGACCCCCCGTGATCCTTTGATTCCTGACTCCTTGTGTCCTGTTCTTGGTTCCCTGGACCTCCTTGTGACCTGTTCTTGGTTTGCTGACCCCCTTGGGTCTCTCCTTGGTTTGTCCTCTCCTGCGCCTGGATCCCTTTTTGCCTGGTGCCTCTAATCCGGCCAGTGCCTGCCCTGCCAGCCGCTGGACTCTCTCTCTGGAGCTCCCCGGAGGACTGGACCCCACCTCTGGATCAAACCGTAAGAGATTCACAGAAAACAATCTTTACCTTTTTTGAACTCAGCCTCGTCCTGACACTCCTCCAGGAGCTGCAGAGGAGCTGAACCTGAACTGTTGTCTTTTCACTTGTAAATAAACACCGTTTTCTTGTATTCCACCTGAGTCTGTCTCGTTCCGGGTCTCATACAAATCTGGGTTCCCCTCGGTTACGACATAATGTAGCAAAAGGGTTAAAAAAATAGCCAAAGCTAACGAAGACAACCTGGCTCCATCTTATATTACAGATCTTATTGTTCCATATTTTCCTAAAAGCACTTCGCTCTCAGACTGCAGGTTATCTTGTGGTTCCTAGAGTTTCCAGCAGCAGAATGGGAGGCAGATATTTGAGTTATCAGGCTCCTCTCTTGTGGAACCAACTTCCAGTTTCTGTCTGTGAGGCTGACACATTGTCCAGTTTTAAGACTTTCCTTTTTGATACTTGCAAAACAATGACTTGGTCAGTGGTGGAGAGCATCCTGTGCTCCAGCATCAATGTGTGGCATGGAGGCTGCACAGCTGCAGAAAGAAAAGCTTTGCAGAGAGTGGTGAAGGCTGCACAGAAGATGTTGGAGTCAGTCTCCCCACCATCACAGACATCTACACCTCCAGATGCAGGAAGAGGGCCACCTGCATCATGAAGGACTCCACTCACCCAGCACACACACTTTTTGCCCCGCTCCCCTCAGGCAGAAGGTTGAGGAACATTAAGTGTAGAACCACTAGACCAGGGGTCTGCAACCTGCGGCTCT